ATATATATATATATATATATATAGACAGATAGGACACAACTGAAATAAATTGAGAAAAGTAAACGACACAAAAAGGAGAAATGATGAGAGAAATGTTACTTGACACTTAAATGTACCCAGAAATCTTTTACACATTTTTATTCCATTCCAATTATTTCATCCTAAATTATATTTTTGTTCTCTCTCTCTCTCTCTCTCTTTCTCTCTCTTTCTTTCTCTAATATCAATCTTTAATTCCCACTTTAATAATTATAATTTTAGTAAAAGAATCACATTATAAGCACAGACGATAATACATATACAAAACAATGGTAGATAGCACAGATCACAGCATTAGCACAATAATAGCATTAGTAGGAACTAACAAATATTTATCGATCGGTACATGAATTTATAACTGATATTACTTTGCATGATTATTGAAATAAAACTTAATAAGAAACAAGCGCGCTTTATAGTTTTCGTATGTAATTTATATGCTGTTATATAGTACAAGAGCTACGATGAATCATATCATATATACTATATATTCATTTAATTTAAGACAATGTATGTAATATTACGTATGTTATCATTTTATGCATTTAATCAATTATCACGAATCGCTTCTTTATTTTGGCTATTTCGCTTATTTTATTATATTACATTACGTTGCACATTAATTTGCGATGGCTAATCATATATGTTAGTAATAAAAGTCTACATATATACCTGTGAGGAAACGTGCAGAGAAAGGTATATTAGTTCATATTGTTAAAATATTTTCGAAAAATTTCGTGACTTAGATATATTTAATATATACTTTTTTTCTCAAACGTATACGAACATTTTTTTTTCAATACAAATGCATATACGCATTATATATGCTATAATTTATTTAAATTTATTGAATATGAACAAAAACGTAACTTTACTCAAGAATATATAAGAAAATAATGCAGATAATTGCGAAAAAGAATAAATTAATTATATTTTCTATAAAATTGATATACATAAATGCATACAGGTACATGTGCATGTGTAATGAGGATTTATCTTGTTTGATTAAATCAACGCACAAATTTTTGTGTACATAATTACAATGTAGTTAATAAGATGTAAGTGATAAATGCAAAAGATAATATGATTTTTCAAGCTAAGATCTGCATGTACAAATATATACAAATATAAAAGTTATTGATTGCAGAGATTATTAAAAATTTTAATATTATATAACAGTTACAATTTATCTTTATTATATATTTCTTCATTATAAATATCATACATAAAATTAAAATTTTGTAAAATTTTGTAAAATAACATCAAATAATTATATTTTTGTAAAAAAATTTCTTATATATAAATAAATATAAAGTTTGTTCATGGATTTGGTTATTGTGAATTGCATGATGTACTCTGTGTATGTCCTGCTTCTTTCTTGTAATGCTAATGATGAATAAGCAGCATTGTAAAATCAAGAAATTGCTTGTGTGAAAATCATTTTTCCTTTTTTTCGTTATTTTGAATATTTTTTTAAATAACGTTTGAATTTATTTATAACAACAAAATACATGTCAAGCATTTGTATATGTTAATAATATATGCAGAGCTTAAGAAATACATCAATATTGAATTTATTTAAAGTTTCTTAAAAATTTTACATTTACTATTCTTGTAGAGCTTACATTTGCTATTGATTATGCGCTGAAGAATGTAGAAATATTTTCTAAAGCTCTGATTACGAAATTGCTTATCAAGATTTATTGTCTCAAAACAGTTGGATTAATATTTAAAATTCACTAGGTGATCTGCCATCATATATAACTCGATTCCAGTGGGATATGGCTAAATACCCCATCAAACAATCTTTGAGGAACATTGCGGATATTATCAGTAAACAAGTGGGACAGATTGATGCTGATTTAAAAACTAAATCCACGATGTACAACAATTTGAAAGGCAGCTTACAAAATTTAGAAAAGAAACAGACGTAAGTTTGATACATTATGATTTGAATGCAATCGACAATTATGTAAATGTCACTATGTAATTTTTTTATCTGCACTAGGGGGAGTTTATTAACACGAAATTTAGCAGACTTAGTAAAAAAAGAACACTTTATTCTGGACAGCGAATATTTAACTACTTTGCTTGTTATTGTACCGAAGTGAGTAAATACATTTACAGCTTTCTTTTGACACATATACTAAATACTGTTATAAAATTGTCATATATTAGATCGTTGAATATTAAATAAACTGGCATCTATGTGTATCTCATGTTTTTTAGATCCAACTTTCAGGAATGGTACGGTTGTTATGAAAAACTGACAGATATGATTGTACCACGCAGTACACAACTCATTACTCAGGATTCTGAATACGGATTATTTACGGTCACTTTATTTAAAAAAGTAATGGATGAGTTTAAATTGCACGCTCGTGAAAAGAAGTTTATTGTGCGAGATTTTACATATAATGAAGAGGAATTAGCAGCAGGTTTGTTATAATATTGAAATCTTTTATAATTTGTATGTGATTGCAGTAATACTTTAGAAATCAACACAACAAATTTGTTATATTAAACATCTTTAAAAGCTAAGCTATGTGTAAAAAATAAAATTTATCATAACAATTACATTTTATTACAGGAAAGAATGAAATTACAAAGTTGGTAACCGATAAAAAGAAGCAATTTGGACCACTTGTCCGTTGGTTGAAAGTGAATTTTAGTGAATGTTTTTGTGCTTGGATTCATGTTAAAGCTTTGCGTGTATTCGTTGAATCCGTTCTTAGGTACTGTACATATTAATATCAGGAGGGGGGGGGGGGCTGTATTATATTAATGTCACATATTGTAATATGTATGATTTATAGATACGGCTTACCTGTCAATTTCCAAGCAATATTATTGCATCCGCATAAAAAATGCGCGAGGAGATTACGTGACGCTCTGAATCAGCTTTACGCTCACTTAGATTCATCTGCTACCTCTTCAACAACGCATAATCAGGATGTAAGTAAAGATGTTGTAATTATTGTACTGTATTATTAAAAGTAGATTAATATTTAATTATAATTTTATTCCTCATCATTTTTATAAATAAATATTACTCTTTTGAATCAATTTTTTAGAATATCTATTATATACGAGAAATATATACAAAATCAAAGAATATATGTTACTTTATGCAGAAAATATTTATATTGATATTTTAATGTGAATAGAATGTGGATATACCAGGACTAGGTTTTGGCCAAAGTGATTACTTCCCTTATGTCTATTATAAAATCAACGTGGATATGGTTGATAGTAAGGTCTAATTAGAGTCTGCGTTTTTCTCCTGGACGTCGTACTTCCTTTTATTTATCCAGATGATATAATTTTATGACATCAGGAATCTAGTGGCAGGTGCGTACAAGTTTTTCACTTGTATTAATATGTAAAAAGAATACTGCATTTCCAGAAAACTTCTTTCGATTTTTCCGTAGCTGTTTTAATAATTACGAATCGCGTAATTTGCTACAATTGGAGAAAATTGTCACATAGTCTTTTTCAGAAATAGTTATTTTTCTAAATCGATGAAATTAGAACGATGTATAAACTGTAATATTGCTCGGAACTGTGCATAAGAATTTGTGCATTCCTTTATACATATTGCAAGAGCCCCAAGTATTAAACATAAATCAATTGAAGTTATAGATGATAATAAGGATTCTCAGGCAAATACCATCAATTGTATGCTTTCGACTTGTATGTCTTCTTGATATACTTGGAAACAGCACAACATGTTTTACACGTTATTGCAATATAAAAATGTATAGCGTTCTAAGTAGAATTGCCACAATACAATCTTATTATCCATTAATCTGTTATATATAAAAGTAAAGAGCTGATCTTTTCATTGATGTGAGATCAAGACTTATGAAGAAAATATATAGACACACATCTCGTTACATTATGTAAAAAGCATTCACATCAAGTGTGTCATGTGAATATTTAACAAATTGTTAATCACAGTTTAGAAAAAATGGATATCTTATTGTTGAATATTAAGAGAAGTTTCATGTCATGTATTCTTATATTATATTTTATTGCTTCAAATAAATTTATGAACTACAAAACACGTTTCATACGCGCGTAATATTTGCAGATTATATTACGTATTGTCTATAACTGTCATATTATCATGAAAGTATATATAAGAATTTTAATATATCGCATGAACCATTCAATTGAAATACATATATACATATACATATTATAATCATCGTTCAGCCTAAATATTTTAATAGATTGAAGGTATTTTTATCCTAACAACAAATTTTTTTATCGAAAAAACAACCAATAAAAACGTTTTTTTAAATCTCTATTTTGTAAAATTTGAATTACAAGAAAATAATCGATTTTTTTATATTATCGAATATAAATTCATTATCAATTGTAATTCAAAATGCAAACTATATTTTTTAAATCAATTATTCCATTTGTAAATTAAATTTAGTTGTTTTTGAGTTAGCACCGTTACAAACTGCACAAAATAAGTCTCCTCCTTTGTGAATACATGGGTTAGAGAAGAAGTCCCTTTACAAGTTGGTAAAAAAAACCTTTCTCCATCAATATCTTCATTAAAAATAATCAAAATTGAAATTTAAAAAAGTATCTTAAAGCTTTAAATCTCTACTTTCGAATGGTTACTATATTTTTTGAATTTACGTGAATTTTGTAATTTTTACAAAAAATTACGAGTTGAAAAAAATGAAAAATTTTTTTTCACTTTCTAGGTTTGTAGCGTGTCCAAAAAAATTTGAGCAAATTTTCGAGTATCTATTGTGAAAGCTTGAAGCTTTCCTTACAAAATCGTTTTTAAAAAATGTTTCTACGATTTTTTGTTCCTGAATTACTCGCGGATTAAATAAAAAAGAACATTCTGACTTCATTGTTTATAATTCCGTTAAAAATTATCGTATCGCAATTAAAAATACAGATTTTTAAAGCCGTTCTTCTATCAAGCGGTATAATTGCTAATTTAAAAAAATAGAATATATGGGTTCCAACTTGTAAAAAGACTTTTTCCCTAATCCAATATTATGTTATTATTATAGACATATATCATAAAGATATATTTTCTGAAGAATAATTTCATGTTGTTAAAATAAGCTTAATTTCTCACATTGATCATAATGTAAATTGCTTGTACATAAGAAAAATCCGTGTATAAAGTCGATGGTTTCATATTATATTTTGAGTTGCACGATTATTGTAAAATGCAGACCAATGTACAATGTTTTAATTAAGCATAAATCACACTAGCGGAAATCGATGACAATACTGATTAAATGTTGTCTGCTCCATAAGTCTATATAAAGAAGCCTGGCATATAATGAAAAAAGGAAAACTGATACATATGTATATTGGCAGTTCAATTATGTAGATACGTTTAAAGAAATGATAATACAGTCAATTGACTTTTACGAATTGTATAGGTAAATGTAATTGTGTAGATAATAAATATTAAGTTTACTTGTCAGCATCTTTTGTTTATACGCTCGTTACTAAATCTCCCAACTATGTAATACTACCAATCTAATCCCTTTATCACTCCTTTGATTTTTTGCATATGATTATGTATGCATATGTTTGTAATATTAGATTAAACAGAATTGTAACTCTATGATGCTTATACTATCTAATTGCAACAAAATACATGTCCCGATAAAACGTTTTATAGGATGTGAAAGGTAAAATATAGGATGTGAATGGTAAAATTACAATATATATATATAACATAATTTCATGTATTGTTTTTATAAAGACTTATTAGTATAAAAGTTATATCGTAAAATAAATTGGTTCTTTGTATAATAGTCCTCTATATCATACAATATAAAGATTTGTACCTGCGTGGAATATAAAAAAATTTTATAAAGACTTTCATTGAAATCTTATATATCTTAGATTCGATACTACATAGTTATGATTATATATATATACAGGATTATATATATATACACCTGTAGACACGATTTCTTCGTTTCACTTTGCAAGCAAGTTTTATTTCTTTTCAGTCACATTGCTGCTCTCAATTAAGTTCTGAAAATTATTTCTCTTATCATTGTTCGCTAGTATGTATTTTAAAAAAGTATTTCCATATTATTTGTATGCACAAATGGTTCCTAAAATATTACCTTCAATTTAAAAATATCCTGCTGCCAATCTCCACAGCCAATAAGTTTCACTGCCTCTAGTAACACATTTGTTATTTTATGAACATTTTGTTTGAACACAACTAATACGTCAGCTGCATGAACATTATCGTCGCATTTTTTCCAGCAATCGTAATCAGTCGCCATGGCTATAGCTGCGTATAAAAGACCTGCTTCTTTCGCTAGGACTACCTAATTATAAACATAACAGTATTATATATATATATATATATATATATATATATATATCTTATTTATATAAGTTTATCATAGTATTTAAACCTCTGGGCATATAGTCATGTTGACCAAATGTCCACCCCAAAGGCGCAGAGCATTACTCTCTGCTTTAGATGAAAAGCGCGGTCCTTCAATAGTTATTACTGTCCCACCATTCCTTATGTTATATCCCAACTTTTTTGCTGCTTGCAATAAGATTTCCGATGTTCGCGGATCAAATGCAGGCTCCATCGGCATATGGCATACTCCTGTAATTTTGAATAAAAGCAGCAACATATTTAAAAAATCATACTTATAGAAAAAAAGAGATACACAGTATATATTTACCGTTATACTTGATAGATGTTCCATCATAGAATGTACTCTCCCTGGAAATAGTTCTATCTATGAAGCTATCAGGCACGACTAATTGTCCCTTACCAATAGACTCTGTTAACGATCCACATGCAGTAGATGCCAGTATATGGGTACAGTCAGCAAGTCGCAATGCTTCTATGTTAGCACGGTAATTAACTCTTGTAGGACTAAATACATGTCCTGCGCCATGTCTATATTGAATCAAGAGAAAATATTTTTATTAATGAACAAAATATAAATTAAACATTGTTAAATAAACAAAAACATTTATTTTTGTAATTAAAATCAAAATATTAAAGTACAAGTCTAAATTGTAGACTTTAGAAATAGTCGAGTTAAAAAATTTATTAAAAAATTCTACCTGGCCAATAGCACTATATCTACTCCATCAATGCATCCATGATAGAGATCACTGGACGGATATCCAAAATCATTCTTTGCATTCTCGCGACTTGTGATACTGCTGCAATTGAATGTTTTACTTAAGCTATCACCCAAACCCGAACCACATATTATTCCCACCTAAAAAATATAAAAAATATTAGTAACAATTCTATATACATTTAGATTAGAATTACACTTTGATTGTATTTTTATTAGAATTACACTTTAATAATATACATTTTCATATACTTATATATTAATTACTATATATATCATTCGTGCCAAAAATGTTCTTGCCATAATATGTCAAATTTAATAATATAATATCATACATCACAGATATCTGTTTCGAGTGATTTTCAAAATTAACTGCTTATAATATTTTTGAGGTTAGTCGATACAAATAATTAAAAAATATATGATATGCGAATTAAGAATCTAGAAATTCTTCTTCAATGATGTCAACGTATTTCTATAAAGTGTGTGATTAAAATTAAAATTCCCTTACCTTCATTTTATTTGCCATAGTGGAAGATATACGATTTATTATTTGAACTTGCAGTCACTTGAGTACAAAGAGAATAATGAATATGACCGCGTGACCGTTAAAGATAATTATCGTGACAATGTGCTACTTATAACCTATAACCTCTCTTTCCTGCAAAAATGTACCGCTTATACAGCCGCGACGATAAGTTATCCCTAATAAGAGTTATGTAATTATAGTATACACTATTTATACATATTAAATTATCTTTTTGAATTATGTTTCTGATGATTTATATTTCTCAATTGTAAAGAACGGGAAAAAAACTTAATCTATATGACAATAGAAAAAAGTTATATGATAAATGCTTACTTTTTAATTTTTTTATTTTTTCACATGGACAGATAAAAATTTATCTTACACAAATCAAATTTTTATCTCTTTTGAAATATATTTTTTCTACACACCTGCCTATATAACACATACTTATAACAGCATTTATTGTGTCGGCTAATCGGATATTTCGTCATCTTCTTTCTCTTATTTTTCTTTTGTTATTCCACTTTTCCGTTTCCTACCAGGTTCCTCATGTCACATTAATTTATGTTTTATAAATTCTATCCCATACAACATGAAATATTTCAGAAATATTTCATTGAAACATTTCTTCATGAAAAATGTTTTAAATATAAATATTTAGGAAGTCGGAGTTTTCAAATATATTTTTTTTCTTATAATATTTTAAAAATATTTTATTGAAATATTTCAAAAAATGATCATTCACATGAATGTTTCATGCTATTTAGGCTAGAATCAAATCCGAAATTTGCCAAATGAATCGACCGTTCTCACACGGAGCCACGTGTTATTCCATGTGGCCGTTAAGCGCTCAAGTTCGCTTGTAAGTAGCGTCATCTGGTCGGCGTGAACTCACCTACGTGAACTACGTTGTCGTTGATTGAACCCGTCAGTGAATCAGCTGATCGCCTTGCATTACGTGGAAGAGAATCAGCTGTGCGCGACATGGACGAGCTAGTGAGCGAGAATCTCGAAATACCACCCGCCAAATACGAGTGTGAGTATCAATTGCGGGTTTTTTTTCTTAACATTACCGTTCGTTTCGCTTTTTTTTTTTTTTCGAAAATATTTCACTTGTCGACATGTACTTTGGCGCGTCTTCGCGCGCGACGGATTCTAACCTCGTAATCGCGACTGACGCAAAGTCTCCGTAATACGACGCAAATCCCTCGCAGGTTTGAAGATAATCACGAAAAAATCCATGTTTTCTGTTACAGATTTGGATCACACCGCGGACGTACAGTAAGTATTGCATTCAGTTGTAGCGGTTGACCGGTTAATCTTGAAAGTTATTTCGCCGGCTAACCTAAAAAAGAGCGCGCGCAAATTTGTGCGGAAATCGATAGACGTTTAAAAGCTTATTTGCGACGGAGATTGATTTGGCAATGTATAAGTCATCGATTATATTTTCAGATTGCACGCATGGGGCGACACCATGGACGAGGCTTTCGAGCAATGCGCGATGGCCATGTTCGGCTACATGACGGATCTCGAGCGTGTGCAGGTCACACAGGTGCATCATATCGAGGCCGAAGGTGACGATATAGAAAGTTTACTCTTCCACTTTCTTGACGAGCTACTCTTCATGTTTAGCGCCGAGCCGTATATAATCGCCAAGGTATAATTTCTTTGTTGCGACATTTCTTTGCGATCAACATAAATATATGCTAATAATTTACCGTTACAGCAATAACGGTAGCATCCAACTTTTAATAATACGTTAAAGGATTACATATAATGTTACAGAAATATAATTGTATGATTCGTATATGAATTTTGTACTTTACGTGAAATATTGAAGAGTCTCTTTGCAACGTATTAAAAATAATTCCTTAATTAAAATTTTATTCTTTTTTACTTGGATTTATAAATAATATTACTGTGTATTGATTAATTCATACAATTACGACATGTTTTATTTGCACGAATTTGAAATTATCGTCAAATAGTCCTTTCGATTGGACCGCGAAGATCGCGTAAACTTATCGTGTCCGCATCCAAAGGTGAAAAATCTCTCCGCACGTCTGTCACCAGAAAGTCAAGATTACCGAATTCGACCGAGAAGGATTTAAAATCAAGGCAACCGCGTACGGCGAGGAGTTCACAATTGGCAAACACACGCAAGGCGCAGAGGTAAAGGCCATCACATACTCAGCGATGCAGATCAACGATCGCCCGCGAGTGGAGTGGCCCGAAATCTTCGTGATCGTCGACATATAATATTATCTTGCCGATCGCACTGCACATGTACCTCAACGATATTTTGCTGCACAACTTTCTGGTAATGCTCTAACAACAGCGAAAAAGTAGCGGAGGGGATGGTTACTTAGCTTGAACGGGTGGTGCGTGGAAAAAGTAGGGGAAGGTAGCCGAAGGGCAAGAAAAGAAACCGTATACCTCCCCTACGGTCTACATAGGAGCGATCCTTTTGTACTTGCCCCGTAGGGTTCAAATAAATACGTTACGAAGAATGCACCGGGCCCCCCTTCTTCTTGGCTCGACTTGACTCAGGCGTGTAATAAGATTACCCGAACTCCCGGCAAAACGCAAGAAAAAGAGCCAAGGGATTAGCCGTTTGTTATTAAGAAATGCGTGCGAGTTTTTAGCGTTATCGATGTTACATATATTTTTTGTTTTTACTTATTTAACATTGTTATTTACAAAATATAATCGGTACGATAGAGTCCCTCTACTCCAGTAGCTATTGCGTTTAAACTATGATTCTCTTTTAGCTTTCTCACTACACATTTCTCTCGCAATGATCACGTGCGAAAGCGAGAGAAAAATGTACAAGATACCATTGGTAAATTGATTACATGCACAATAATCTGCATCATTAAAGTAAAGCCCATTTTTGCCAATTTAAACTAACATTTTAACGCACTTTATAACACATGTATTTGTTCGACTAATATTTATCGCACGTACACTGTATGTACAATTGTATGTTTCAGCTATCAGCGGTAGAATGAAAAAAACCGATTAATTTTAAATGTAGGTCACAGCTTTCTGTTGATATTTCTAGAAAGGTATAGTATCGTGTTAACGCTATTCCTTCGATATTATACACGTTTTTCAAATCTATGTACAATCATATACCAATAGAATTATATTCTACTTTATATGCAGTGCATATGAAAGTGTGAATTGTGACACAAACTAATTGTGACATAAACTGATTGAAAAAAATTGAATCGAGCCACTCACATCTTTTGCGAAAATAATGTCAAAAAAATATAATATCCATTATTTGTACGAAACTCCAGTTTTCCAATGAAAAATAGACAGTCCCTGCCTACATCTATTTGACGCGATTGCATTGTATCGCGCTTGATACGAGACGGCGATCGAGGAGAGATCTGAATTGTGATCGGTGATGAAATCGAAATAAAAAAAAAAGTGCGACTTTTTGCCAGTGATAATTTTGTCCCTGTCTTCTCCATCGATTTTCTCGTAGAGTTTTCGACATTCTCGAGTCGGGAGAGGGCCCTGCTCGCCTTCCGTCCCGCTACATCCCTGCAACTGAATCGCCCCTCCATTCGCGAAGGAAGGGACGATCGTACGGCGGAGTTTCGGGCAAGACCAGGCAAGAAACGAGGGGCATCAGTTGTCCGGCAGGATCGTCGAGTCGAAGGTAGTCGAAGGCGCGTGTGCGTACGTAAGCGCTTGCACGATCGTTGTCAAATTAATACGTCACGTAAATTGCATAATTGACGCGAGTGCTGCCTGCATAACGCCGTGTCCGTAACGCGTTGCCCCTCCGTCCCCCCTCTGGATCCTCTGCCGCGAGGAGGCCCGGATTAAAGGGACCCGGTATCCGTCGGCGTTTAGAGAGAGAGAGAGAAAGGGACGGGAAAAAGGAAAGGCGGGAGGGGGGGAGGGAGGGAGGGAGAGAAAGAAGGAAAACGAGGAGAGACTCACTTTGTTCTGTTCGCCAACACCCCCGAGCATGGCGGACCGGTATGGTAATAGTGCGCTCCGGAAACGCGGGAATGCTTGCGAGAGTGCTGAAAGTGGATAATCGGTGTCGCGAGGACGTCGTCGAGGACGAGGAGACGAGCGGTTGCGAGGATACATCGCGGTAAATAGCCGTTCTCTCGTCACTCGGCTGAGGCGGTCTCCGTGGTGGAGCAGCCGGCGGAGTAAAAGTTTTGGCGGGTAAACCAGGTGAAGGCGCGCAACGATCGCCGACGCTCACCGTCGGTCGAGACTCGGTGTTTTCCTAGCTGACGATCCTCCCGGCGGGGATTCTCGAGAATCTCGAGGAAACGCGATGACGCGCGTGAAACGGCACGGGACGCGTTCGTAATCGCGATAATAGCCAGTCGACATTATCGAGTGGTTATCGCGCGCGCCGCATACGTCGGGGTATTTTATTAGCAGGCTCGCTCGCGGGGATCCGCGTGTTCTGCAAATGTCGTGATATCATCTGGAAAAAGGCACGGTCATATCGGGTGAACGCGACTGAACGCGACCACGAAGCCGCACGAAGCTGGTGGCGACCAGCGACGACGGTTTTGGCGCGCGTATTTCAGCTGTCGCGCGCGACCGGCAGATGGCCGGTACGCCGGCTCACGGACGACACGGACGCACCGACACGCCGTCGCGCGACACGCACACAGAGAGATCGACCATTGCCGTTACCGCTACGGCGAGGGTGCCGCCGCGCCGTCCGCTCGGAAGCGCGCGCACTTATGAAAGGCGGCGAGGAACGACGCGTTGTCATCGCGTGAAACGCGAACGATCAACGAACCTCCTCGCTCCGCAAAAGTGCCTTCCGCCCGTTCGAGCCTGCCCGAATTCAATCGTCATTCGTCACGAGTGCCGTACCGCTGAGGACGTTTGAGTTTCTCCGAGAGAGAGCTAGCTGTCCTAATTCCGGTAAGTTTACGCCTCGCGTCAGGTCGCTTTAAAGTGTCACCTGTCGAACGCCGAGTGAGATAGCGAGCGAGCGAGCGGGCGAGCGAGAGAGAGAGAGAGGGAAGGAGAGAATTTCCATTGGTTACGAAACTCATCGTTTTTCCCGACGTAATCTTCCGCGGACGCTTCACGCGCGAGAGATGCAGCGAGAGTGCACCAACATCATCACGATATCGTCCGCTACCAACGTAGCGCGACTCGTTCACGCATACACATTCGGAAGCGTCATCCTCTTTCCCTTTCTCTCTGTCTCTCTCGCGCTCGTTGACTCGTACGCACGTTTAACGGCTTGCGACGCATGCGTGCCGCGCTTTTCCGCGGTCGGGTCGTATCGCATCGCATCGCACACACACCGCATACACGCGCCGACGGCGGTAGCGGCGGCGACGGCGGCGGCGCCGCGCGACAGCCGACACGAGGCGACGCGACGGGACGCGACGGGACGCGACGCGACGCGACGGTGCCGACGTGTGGTCTCGCATACACCACCAGCGTATACACCGACACCGACACACAGCTGTGAGCTGGTGGCGCGGAGGGTACACCACCTCGCGACTCGCGAGGCGAGAGAGAGACTCTCCCTACCTCCCGTAGAGACATTCGCGAATACGCACGGACACGCGGGCTGGTTCTCTCTTTCTCTCTCGTTCCCTCTCTTGGCATCTCGCGAGCACCGGCGCACGCGGCACACTGTCCGCTTCTCGTTACCCGAATCGGCCAGTCGTGCCAGCGCGCCACGGTGCCCGCAGCCCGGGGTCCCCGTCCATAGCCATACATTCGGTTGAAGCAGTCGAAGCGGTCGAAGGAAGGAGCGAGGCAGCGAACCGACCGATCGTCCGGATCTTCTTGCTCGGCGTGCCGGCCTCGTACGTACATACGTACACGCGCGACGCAACGAGACACGTATATAAAGAGGGAGAGAAGGAGAGAAGGTTCGTTTCTCCTTGCTCGCCTCGCCGGCCTCCTGGTCGGCCTGAGTCGAGTCGAGCCGAGCCGAGCATGCCGAGGCGGGGCTCGCTCTAAAGGTTCGAGCCACGCTGTATTATACAGAACAGTGAAAAACACCCGTAACGTTCTCGATCCAGCGTATTGTTCTGGAACGACGAGCGCCCCTTCCGTCGCGTTGTACGAGGAATCGCCTGGCTCGTGCTTTACCTGGCTACCTGCTGCCTACTTGGACCCGCCTGTGCGTAGCGTAACCGCGGCGGTGCGGTGGTGGCGGCAGATCGAATCGCGTAGAAAATGGACACCGTACTCTAGCACCAGCAGCACCAGCAACGCGAACACGCTCGTAGAAACGAGCGACCTCGAAAGAAAAAGAGCGACGTATGCCAGGGAGAGAGTAAGAGGGAGAAATCGCGGAAAGTACGACGAGAGTATGTAAAGCAGCTACGATTACAGCCACGTCGAGGGAACGGTGGGAAAGGGTGAGCGGGCGATAACCATCCGAGATATACATCTCGAGGCGATACAGGCCGACGAGGAAGGGCCCGCTCCGTCTCCGTCTATCGTCGTCGTCGTCGTCGTCGTCGTTCTCCTCCTCAAGCAGGTCCCGCACGTTCGTTCCATCCGGCGGACGATTTTGCCGTTAGCCGCGGTGTTCCTCTGTGCCATATCCCTCTCGAAACTCGAGTGCCGGGATCGAAAGAGACCACCCGGACTGGGGGATGCCCGGCTCCAATCGTCCTGCGACGGCTGCGACACGCGCCGCGTGCCGTGTGCTGGCCTGCTGCTGAATCTTCTCCCGGAAGAGAGCGCGGGTCTCCGTCTCAAAATACTGTGCGGCGCGGCGCAGCGCAGCGCACACATTCGCGAGCAGTCAAGTAAGTAGCAAAAAAAAAACCGGGAGTGAGCCGTGAGAGGAGGAGGGACGGAAACGCTGCGCTGGCGAGAGCCGAGAGAGCGAGAAAGATAGATAGATAGAGAGAGAGAGAGAGAGAGAGAGAGAACGGATGGACGGACGGACGCATTACCTCTTCGCGCCGACTTTTGCTACTTCCGTCTCTCTTTCTCGCCCGAGATCGCGGCGCGTGTCGTCATCAGCGACGGTGGCTGTTGACGACGACTTCCTAGCGAGAAACGCAGTTTTTTACGCGCCAACAGGTCAGCACCCGGGTTGATTATACGTTTGCCCTTCCTCGACTACTCGCCTACCGTCCTCGCCGCGCTGGTAGAATGCCGCGTGAGTTTCGCGCTTCGGCCAGGATGCAGGTCGAGGGAGCATCTACGGGGAAACGTCTCCGTAGCAGCGGCCGGATCGCGCCTCTCCTTTATATGACGTGCCGGGTAACGCATCTTACTAGGGACACACCGGCGGTGTCGTCTCGGCTCTTTAAACGAGTTCGCCGCAACGCAACGGTCTCACGTACACGCGAGTATGTATACGTGTGCGAGCACGCGTATCTCTCATCGGTGACGCGTCGAACCGGCATATATGTGCGTGCGTATCGTGCGTACGTAAAGGAGTAGGCGAGCGCGTCGATGTGCACAAGGCCGTGACTTCGATTCTCGTTATTTACCAGCGATACGGTATGAGATCGAGTTCCTCGAGATTCCGCGAACGCAGTTTCTCGATTGACGTAAGGATGGGCGCGCAGAGGGAAACGTCGCGTGAATGAAGGCAGCTCGGAGGCTCCTAATATTTGCTTGCACTCTGCACTTTTTCCATTGTCATTGTTTTTTTTCTCTTCTCGACGCCCAAATACGTTTCTCGGACGGCGAAAAGGCGAAAACGGGCAGATTCTCGATTCTCGAAAATGTGCAGCGAAAATGATCGAGGCGCGCAATATTTGACAGTTCCACCAATAGAAAGGCATCGCTTCCCTCCGCTCGCGCGCGATTGGTCGTTATCGCACGACAGCACTTTTCCTGAAGTCTCGCTCTTTCGAGAAGGAATCGAGAATTCTCCGACAATCGACGACGCGAGAACGCCGGCGGCAACGCGTGGCCTTCGATCGATGTTAACAGCTGATTGCGCGCTATGTCGGGCTAGAACTGTGGCATCACACTCGCCAGGTTTTGATAAGAGAAGCCAGAGACTCGAAATAAAAAGAACGTATCTGGAGTGCTATCACTCTATTTCAACATTCAGAAGCTTACTGCTGTACTGTTTACTTAATTGGTTCAAGTTAATTTTAAGACTGCATACATTTTTGCAGACGTGGACTGCTCCGTGCGTTTTTCAGACTTCCATATATCTATAACACATAATTTAATAAGAAAAAAAAACGTATTTATGTTTTCCAACATTTCTTTTTTCAAAATTAAATAATTGCAAATAATTATAAAATCAAAATTTATGCTCATCAACCATAAACAAAGTCGCTAAATCGTCAAGTACAAACATTCAAACAAAAAATTCCCAAGCTGGGAGCTGAAATTTTCATTGGATATTACGAGTCCCCGTGTGTGCAACCCTAGGGTTAAAGAAAAAGGAGATTAAGGACAACTTTAATTGATTAGAAAGAATTTATTGTTAACATGTAGAACAAAATTAGATCAGGAGCAGCGGAATATATAGTTGAAAATTTTGCTTTGTAAGCAATTCTGTCGGTTGAATCAATCACTGATTAAATTAATCGAGATTTGGTTGAAGTCACCCTAAAGGGAGATGGCTAGGCTGGTGTCGTAGAGCTCGCGACCTAAGACCTTTACGAGCGGAAGAACGAAATGAAGGGGCAGGGAAAGAGAGAAAGAGAGAGAGAGAGAGAGAGAGAGAGAGAGAGAGAAAGAGAGCCGGTTTCGTCACATCTGGTCGCCTGAAGCCTCGTGCACACGAGACACATTGCGCATTCGTTTGCATCTTCGCACAAGCCACAGCGCACGTCTCGTGGACGCCCGCCGCCGCCACCGTCGTGGTAATGGATGGCGGCGGCGTTTCCTGTCTTCGATGCACTGGAGACCCGGCGTTAGTGCCCACATCGTGCTCGATTGCGAACATACGGAGCAAAGTCGTGAAATTACTCTGCCGACGCCTTATTAGCTTAACCTCCCAACTCGTATTTAATCTTGGAGTAAGTAATCGTGTAGACTTTGTCGCGTTCTTTATTAAACGTGAACACGTTTCCGGGATCGATGTTGGTGCAACGCATTGTTGATTCTGCCAATTTTCGCCAACGTGACTCTACGCCGAGGTTGACTTGACGGGCCATCCCCGTGAGCGACCAATCAACGGACAGGAAGGCAAAAATTTCAGCTTTCGCGTCGAGGTAAAAACGTATGGACAAATAGTTCGATGATAATTATCGCGTGTTAAAAAAAAACAGTCGTTTTCTTTTAATCGGTACATCACTTTTACATCGAATGCAGCCGATATGCTGTGCGATGCTTTGTACTTTGGTTTCGAGATAATGGCTGGCCAATCAATGACTCCGCGTCGTGCATTGCTCCCAACCTTCCAAGCACAAATCGTGATGCTATTGGTCTCGAGAAATCCTAGTAGCTCTCACTAGTAGTTGATTGTGTATCCGGCAGAAGACTCGAACTGGAGTTGCTCCAACTTTTATCGACGCTATAACATCGATTATAAATTTTTTCTCTCTCAATTTATCTGTTTGCTAACGAAATTGAATCAACATCCCTATATAAAGTTGTTGAAGGATTTTTAAAAAAATTTTATGTAGCTCAACATTTTTTATCAAGCATTTTTTTTATCAAAGTTATCTAGTATATAAAATTATATAAATAATAAAATAGAACATTATCGGAAAACATAATCGATCTATCCAAAGAGAAACAGATTAAACGGGTTAACAATTAATTAACATTGATTTATTACTCCAAAACATTATCAAACATTTTCTGTAATCGCTTTGAATAAATCACAAACACAGGATGAAGGGATATTTTCGAGACGCGAGCACTATCTCTTTAAATCACACCCGGAACGATCAGCTTGTCTCGGAATGCTTGTTCTTTTTTTCTAAAATTCTCCGGGCCGAGCTCGCCATGGGTCCGTTCGGAGTGTTCAGACGCATACCAAGCGTTTACTATGGAGCCCTTAAGTTAGCTTATTCGATTTAAATCATCTTGCAATATAATACTCTCAACTTGCATCTTTTGTATACATTTCATTACTTTTAGATATTTCCATATCTTTTCTTTGATAATATTTTGATAAAATGTAACAATTAAATGATAAAATATAAGATATGCAAGTGAAAATAATAATTTACACTTTCTTTCGAATTCGATATAAGAATAAGAAATATTTTCTTTGGATTAATTGTTTTGAAATTAATTTTTTATTTCTTGAAACTAATTTTTTATTTCGCAGAATAACTAACAGGAGCAAAGAATTATTTATGTAATGTATTGAGTCTCATATTTATTACATTTTCCAAATTTATCGAGTTCAGTTCTCTTGCTTGATTATATAACAATTATTGATGAAGGAGAATATAAGCAGCGCAATTATGTTTATTGTGCTTAATGAATATCGCGCAGTCGAGTTTACTGGAAATGTGGCTTAAGAATCGCTATTGTAGAAAGAGAAGCAAACGTACTTATTTGTATTCAGTAAAGAGTCGTACACGTGACTACGATATATTTGTTCAGTGCAGATTCAGTGCAGACAAACGAATCTAAAGTCTTTGCCAAATTATATGTCGCGATTGTTGTGACCAAGTGTGAAGAAACTTGGTATTAATTGGTATTAATCTTAATACTAAAATCACACGTATCTTTATCACGTTACAATAGGTTCCAATTTGCGTAGATAAACATTGCATTTTGCAAGATGTACCGATGCGACATTTACGTGATGTTTATACTGACGCAAACGTACTTACGCGAGAAATGACTTTCGAGAATGTAATCTTCTTATTTATAGCTTCTGATGGATATAAATGGTGTCACGTGTGGTCGGTTTCAGTTGACACACGACAAACTAATCTGTAAGCACGAAGAAAAAGTACTATTTTCGCACCAACATTTCTACTTCAATCTTCCAAGTTATCTGTATCTGGATCGGTTGACGAATTCAATTGGATTCACTCAGTTTGCACTGGTGCACAATAAAGCTGTCGTCCACACAGCTGATTGACGCAAAAATGTGTATTCAATTTAATATAAAAGCGAATTTAAACCACATTTTATTGTGCTATTAATCAAAATCGGTATTTTATAATTCGAAATATTTGCATTTGACTTTTATCCAGATTAAATTAGGATACAATGACTTTAATATGCACTAATGCGTCCAATCGAATTCGCTACATCTCTACCACCGTAAAGTAAATCTCTCTTATTTTTAGACAGGCAGAAAATAATTGCATAGCTGGCAGGAATTGAAGACATCGAATCTTGATTATCGATGATTATATGACTTTGGACTTATCAATAAAATACTTGAATAATGATGAGACAATTCTTTTGTGTCTTTTAAAAGATAACGACGAGCAATCAGCTGATATTCTGAAAACACTGAGAAATAATCTGGGATCAGAGATTGTATTCTCGAAAATATCGCATAAGAATGTACGAAAATACTATAGTATAGTATATAGTACGTTATATATGTATTATAGATTTTCCTAGTATTTTCACTTGTTTTTCAAGAATAAAACCCCGGAATCGATAATTTCGACAAGTTTCGACGCTACAAACTGATAAAAATACGTGTGATTTTATTATACATTTATCTTATATTTAAATATCCGAATAAGATCAGATTTTTCTTCTCTTCTTTTTTTCTACTGATATGCTTAGTTTCATTTCTAGTCAATTTCTCCTTTCGCTCTTGAAATTTGATACATACGTGTAAGTCGGATTTCTTCAAGTTCAATTTCATCTATTAGTTTCCTCCAGTTCTATTTTATTGAATCCTCTACTCGCTTTTCAAGTTCCATGTACATTTAACGGAGTTATTTCGTTCTTTGTCGCGTTTCTCTTCGGAACGCGAGTGGGAATCGAATTTTCTTCCAACATCATCGTTCCTTCTCGCAGCCACTTTCATTGGACTCACGAGTCTCGTGTGCGTCCGACCTAAAGCCGCGCAATCCGATCACGCCTTCCACCAA